CAGGGTACGTTCCGGCAGTACCCTGGGGGACATAGACCCTATGAGCATCAGTATGTATGGTCATGCAATATCATCACATTTCATGCTTATCTATGCCTTTTAGTCATGGTGTACCACTTTGTAGTAGAGGTTTGGTACACTTGCACACTAAATGGTATTCAGCAAAAATGTTATTTTCAAGTCTCTTATTTGTGGTCTTAACCATAGATTGCTAGAGCCTTGCTGTATCATTATTTACAATCAAACCTTTTACTTGTCAAACTTATATTTAAGTGTATGTTCTTCTATTTTCAGTGTGATATCATTTTTTTCACTGAAACTAAAAAGAAAAATACTAGAGTAGACAAAATTTAAATGAGTTGTATTTGCATTTTCAGTTGCGAAAGCATTTAAAATCACGCCGGCTTGAAAGTATCCACCAGCTTGGCATTGACAGGATAGTTGATATGCAGTTTGGTTCTGGAGAGGCTGCGTATCACGTTATTTTGGAATTATATGACAGGGTGTGTAAGCAGGTTTAACAACATGTATACTTGTTGCAACTTATCCATTTTAGCAGTACTGTTTCACTGTTTTGCCGTGGTGTTATCTCACATTCACGCTAATGTATATGTGCTGTAACATCCTGGTGCATTGTGCGATTTTGTACGCAATATAATAATGTGTGTACTGTGAGTTTAGTTTAAATTGTCTTACTATCATTTATATCAATCTTAAGTTAAAGGTATAGTGTCAGAGTCTGAGATTTGCCTAGAGGGCAACACTTTGCCATTTAAATTTTAAAGACCTGTGACATTTCCATATGGTGTGCCACTAAGAATATCATATTTTCAGCAAAGTATAACCAATAGCAGGTAATATCTGGATGTATGGTTTATTCACAGGGAAATATTGTGCTGACAGACTTTGAGTACACAACTCTGAACATTCTGCGGCCTCGCACGGATCAGGCAGAAGATGTCAAGTTTGTTGTTCGGGAGCGATACCCAGTTGAGTCGGCTAAACAGGCTGGTCCTGTGCCAAGCCAAGAGAGGTGCACTACTTAAGCGGGGGACACACTATGCGAATTTCGCTGCAATCCTATCCGCAGCGAAATTCACGGCAAAAATATTTGCACCCGCATGCGATAATTGAGCAGACACACCATGTCGTGCGGATGAAATTTGCCCGCGCTTGAGCGGACACACCATGCGAATTTCGCTGCGATTTTAACAATCGCTGCGGTTGTGCGAATAAATTCGCATGGTGTGTCCGCTCAATTTGTCGCATACGGGTGCGGATATGATCGCAGCGAAATTCGCATGGTGCGCGCTTGAGCGGACACACCATGCGAATTTCGCTGCGATTTTAACAATCGCTGCAATCGTGCGAATAAATTTGCATGGTGTGTCCCCCGCTTTACGCACTGCTGTTACCTGGAAAATGCACCCACCTATATTCCCTCATTATTTCATCATTGTGATGCGGTTAGTTGTTATGCTAAGGCAGCATGCAGTGACTAGGAAAATCAGTCATGAAACCTCCTATTTATAAGATGTTAACTTCTGTTTCTACTGTTTCTTGTGTTGGTTCAGTTAAAAATCAGCATCATTGTTTAAATGTGTCTTTCATGGGCAAGGGACACTTGGATCTGTAGTTCATTTCTATTATACCACACCCATTAGAGATCATGTGAAAGAGCTAAATTCATGCTCAAATCTAATACTAGATGTCTTTACTATATATATATGCTCTCCCTGTGCATATAAAAATATAACTTGCACTTGTCAGTATGCTTTCAACGTAGTGATTGTCACTCTGAAATATATATCTTTGAGATGTGAACTTTGTGTGAACGTGTTTTGCACTAGATCCCCGTGATCGTTCTCACGTATTTCTTGGTTCAGGTTGCGAGAAATTCTTCTATCAGCTAAGCCAGGAGAATTATTGAAGAAAGTTCTGAACCCACACCTACCTTGTGGTCCTGCAGTGATTGATCACTGTATCATAAAAGCAGGTTTTGTGCAAAATGCAAAGATTGGAAAAGACTTTGATATAGACTGTGGTAAGTCTAACTATAATGTCACTGAGATATAATTTAAATTTTGTAGTACAGGAAATGGTGTCTCGGATTTACTAAGAAATACAAAACACTAATTAGGTAAAACATTTCAGTTGACCAGGTAAAACATGATGCGCACCAAGCCAACGTAATTTGTATGAACAATTTGTAGGACAGGGAGTACATACAACGTTTTAAATTATGATAGTGCCACAGAAACAAACCAGCTACCTAAATCTGGTAGCCATAACATTTTGTTGCCATGAAAATCATCCAATATTAGGCACTTTGTACAGTCAGATGAGCTACAGCACTTGTTTTTTATCACCATACAAACAAAAAATTGATCACTGAAGCTACACTAAGGTTAAAGTAACTGACAATGACAGTGATCAGGAAACTTCTGCTTTTTAGATATTCCTCGATTGACTGAGTTGGTGGAAGAGGCAGAGTGTATCCTCACTGACGCTGGTTGCCATATGGGCACAGGCTTCATAATACAGAAGAAGGACAAAATAACTAACCCAGGAGGCGGTCAACAGGAGTTACTCACGTGAGATTATTTCCATATCCTACAACACACAGCATTGTGCAGGTTTAAACTCTATGCTATGCTTAACATAGTAAAATACCTGTATCTCTGTGTCTACTTGAGCTTATAAGTTGAATAGACATCAATTTTATTTGGAATGTTTATGGTAGCGTGATCTGTGCCACCAACATGGTTTTGAAACTTGCATAGCTGTTTTCTAAATGTTTCCTATGTATTTCCTTATAGATTTTATCAGAATGTTTTTCCCATAGGTATTTCGAGTTTCATCCTCAGCTATTCAAACAACACTGCAGTGCCCCATACATTGAGTTTCCAACATTTAACAAGGCATGCGACGAATTTTTCTCCCAGTTGGAAGGCCAGAGGCTGGATCTAAAGGCAAGATAACCAACTCACTTGAGTTTTTTCTGGTTTTCTTAAATAGGATCTGAGCAAAGATCGAGCCTCCTATACATATATAATAATTATTTCCACGTACGGCTAGTCAATATTCCTTTATGTAGAATGGTCTCTCTGTCGATGCTCTTTATTTGGCCAGTGTAACTAGTAATAATGTTGAATTTCAGGCATTTGAGCAGGAAAAGGCTGCGATGAAAAAGCTGGAAAATGTGAAGCGAGATCATGAGAAACGACTAGAGGCACTCGGTAAGGCACAAGAGGAAGATGACATCAAAGGTCAGCTGATTGAGATGAATCAGACCCAGGTAAGTGCATAAATCGGTGTCCATATGAGTGGCAGTAATAGAAGCAGGAGCAGTGGCAGCAGTACTAGCAGCAGTAGAACCACCAATATTATATGTAGTAGTTTCAGCAGTGGCAGAAGTAGTATTATATATCAGTAAGGCTGTTAGTGCTAGCAGTAGCAGCAGGGCCATGGAGGCTGTTTGCTAGCGCTATTAGTATCACGAATGTAGGTATGTATATACATACGTTCAAGAGCATATAAAGAAGGAGAAAATGATCCTTTCTCGCTTTGTGGCCAGTGTGTTGCTTCCGGTCGCAGCTGTGTAGTGCCGTGGTAGCACTGACTCATTACGTCAGTACTACAGAGTTTACTACATCCAGCGTGAGGTGGGCACAGGTGTGGGTCATCACTATAGCAATCAATAACAGACGTCATTCATTTCATTTGTCAATCATTGACGGAAACACGCGAGGTTTCCCGAAGTTGTCTCAAAGCGAGAGACAGTCGCAGCAGGTATCTCAAGTCGTTTTTCGGCGAAAATACCAGATTTTCACCGCTCATTATCTCAGCGTAGGGATAAGCGGTTTGTTTTATATTAGCAAGGTAGGACAGCTGATCAATAATACCGCAAAGAATCATCAAAATAAAACGGGCTAAAATAAAATAATTCGACTAATACTGCAACATGGTTTCAGCATTTCACCGTTGTACACTCTCCTACTTTATACGCTCTTGACAATCGGCAGCCCGGATCTCGCGCGGAGCGCGAAAAGCGCAGCGTAGCGGCACACTAACACAACAACTCTGCACTCATTGAATAGCAATTTCAACGGGTTTACATATAGCATGCAAGCAGCAAGTTTGCTGAATTGAGCAGTTCTGGCAATTGCACGACGGGTTTGACTACCCACGTAGCTAGAGATTTCCTAGAAATGGTCGTAATTCTTGGTTCGCTACTCGACGCGCAATTGGTTTGCTGTAAAAAACGGAGTTTAACTTTTTTGTCCCAGCGACTAGTTCAGGCCCCCACATCAGTGTAGTACATATAGCGTGCGATAGATGGCGCAACGAGGCTATATGCATAGCATTTCGCTAGGACTTTTCCTGCAGACGGCTCGGCCGGCTATAACCTAGACTGCTCCTCGGTCGACAGTTCCACACGCTACACTAACTAACTTCAGTGTAGCGAAGGATACTTGCCAAAGTGAAGGTGGCGAACGGGTACCAGTCTAGCTATAACCCCCCAAACTCCATCCAGCGCCCGTTCGTACACTCTCGTAGTTTCTGTGAGGTTAGTTTAGCTCTAGGGTACTAGTACTAGAGCTAATTAGTTTATCTAGTACTGCCCCGTGTCTGATCCCCCGCTGCCGCTGGAACATAGGTGTTTGTTTACGTTTGGTGTACATTGGTCAGCCATTGATGGCGTACCAACGCTGATCCAGGCATCCGTATTGTGATAACATGGGAAAATGTACGATATTTAGCGATGTCGCAATAGCCGCAGTTGTTAAAGTGCCGTGCTACTGGCGCAAACGTTTCTGGTTCAATCCCCGCATTGGCAAAATATTTTCCCTCATTTATTTATTGCTGCCGGTTTTCATTATAACGTTTTTTCATTACACCTACCATGTTCGTGCATCTATCATGCGTCTATCGTCTATGCGTCTATCATGCATCTATCATGTTCGTCTGTTCTAACTATGTGGAATTATGGGATACTAACTCTGAGTTACTCTGAGTTACTTAACTCAGGATTTAATCCATGTTTATGAAACCCAAATTTAACTCAGAGTTTACTAACTCAGAGTTAGTGAGTTTAACTCAGAGTTAGTCTTAACTCGGGGTTAAAGTTAATCCACGACTGTGGAACCGGGTCCAGGATACCACTGCCACAATAAAACTGCATGCAGTGCCCCTTCGCACACTCAAGATACCACTGCCACAATGCTAGCACTATTTTTAAAGTGGGCGGAGCTCGGGGAAATCCAGCGAATGGAGATTCGTAAACAGAGTATGGTTTGAAAGAGGTAAATGGTCGCACAATCCGCGTACTATTTCGTATCACTATTTTATCAAAGTTTTCATGAAATAAGGTTGGATTTTTAATATCTTTGCAACTTTTATACACAACAGTTATATATTCTCCGGTGGTCATATATGCGCCGTTCAGCAATATAAGTCTAACTACGCGTGACAAATGTCATCCAAATCTATCATATTGAGGAAGTTGGCGATTGTGTGCACAACATCACGTTACATGAAGAACTTCAGGCAAAACAACGTCGCCGACATCTTCAACATAACGGCTGTCGACAGTTCCCTTCAACACAACGTAGGTACTGCCGTCATGACGTTCTGTAGCAGCACAGAGCAGAGCAATACGCAGAGGAATCAGTTCGATGTTACGAATAGCCACATAATGCGCATACTCTCTCGTACAACATCCTCATCCATTTCTTCATGCAATCAT